TGCCCGGTAAACCGTAGGCAGAGAGAGAGAAGAGGACAACAAACGAGGGGCTGTGACAAACTGTTTCGTCGGAGTTTCACCGACTCATCAGGATATATATATATATATATATATCGTCACAAATATATATGTATATATATATATATGGCCACATACTTATGAACTAAAACAACGCACTTTGCGAAACAAACGGCAAAAATTAAAAATTAAGAAAACAAGACAAACATAAAGGGCACTGAAACCATTCATTTTTCTCATTCTTCTTTTGACCCGCCCTTCACCGTGCCTCTCACGTACAAGGCTCGCCACATTGATGAAGTTAGAGCGTGAGCTGTCCCCATCCCCGTGTGCCATAACAGCCCACTTGTACGCTGTGAGAAAGAGGCAGAGTGAAGGGGGAGGGGACAAACACAGGGAGGAGAGATGGAGAGCAGACAAACAAAGAACAGTAAAGGGAAAGTAAGGGAAAGTATGAAGTGTGGAGTGAAGATGAAGGCAGAAGAGGATAAGAAAAGGCTCAAGAATGAGTCTGTCCTTGACGACAGAGAGGACATACATTGCAAGGATGAACACATGGAAGACCTAGCTGAGCATTCTCAGTGCAACAATTGCCACGACGGCTGGCATTGAGCATGCCCACCATACACCCCGACAAATGGCATGTCGATTGCAGGCCAAAATGAAGGAAGAACGGTCACCACAAAAGAGCATCCATTCAGTATAGCGCCCATGGCCACAAAATGGACATATAGTGTCCAGATGCGGAGGGTGCCTGGAGTCAGGAATAGTGGGACAGTCCTTCACACACATGGATGCAGAAACCATGTCATTGCAGTGATTGTGACAGAGACGATGGCGACTACAACCAAGTGTAACAGTGTTTGTGGTTGTGCAACGGAGAGGGTCGCAGAGTGCTGGTACATTGTCTTGCTGCAGCACGGGGCCAAAGGAATGACCTTCAACATAAAAAAGATTGCGATCGGTTTGTTGTGGCAAGAAAACAGCATCATTTTGTAAGAAATCAGTGACATCAATCATGGCATGGACCATGGTGCCGTTGTCCCACAGCTCCCAGTGGTCAGAGGCATGTACAATGGCCATGTAATGGTCAGTGCCGTGCACAATGCAGGCAGAGATGTGGGATGGAGGATTAAACCACTCACCTGCTCAAGCATTGCGTAGTTCGAGTCGACGCTCCCTCATTGCTACTTGTAGGACAGCAATGGTAAAGCCTCCTTCGCTGGTATAATTAGAATGCTCTAGTTGTAATTGGGGAAGATCAACATCTAGCTGAAGGGCGATTGCAAGGAAGTCTGATGGTGTATAAAACGGGCAGAGGAGAATGTGAAGACAAATATTAGTTGTCGTCAGACCACAGAGATTGGTGAGGTTCTCAGGCTGGTTTTTTGGATGTTAGCCAACAATTTGCAGATCACCTAGATGGTGTTGCAAGCCCAAACTGTGTTGGGTTGTTTGCTGGTCAGTCATTTGCAGATCATCCATGTGGTCTGCACGTGGCGGAGAACAATGTTGGTTGTCATTTGCAGATCCCCCATGTGGTCTACGCCTTGTCGGGTCAACTGCAATCCGGGCAGATCATGTTCCAATCCCTCAACATTTAGGGTTGCATCCTGAGTAGGGACTGTACCTGGAGTCGGGAGTGTACTCTGGGCAGCGGCTGCATCCTGAGCAGGGACTGTACCTGGAGTCGGGAGTGTACTCTTGCCAGGGACCACATCGTGTTGTGCAGGTGAGTCGTGAATATCTAACGTTGCAGGGTATCGTGGCTGCCTGCAGGCAGCTGGACTGTCTGCAGGAGGCATAGGAGCGGATATTGCCATTTGAAACAAAAGAACCGCAACAACCTGTGGAGGAGGCACAAAGAGAATCAGGGTAGACAAAGAAACAGGTTGTTGATCCCTGGACAAGTCACGATGCCGCACCTGTGGAGGAGGCACAGAGAGAATCGGGGCAGACAAAGAAACAGGTTGCTGATCCTCGGACAAGTGACAATGCCGCTGATGTCGTCGGTGATACACAACAAGAGGAGTAGTGTTGCAAACAGAAGATGAACTTGTCCCTAGCAAAGAAGGTGGAACAATGGGAACAATGGAAACTGGAGAGCTGTTCGCAAGCGAGACCATGGAGGAGATGGGGGTGGTGAGGAGGAACGCAGCCGTCTACGGCCAAGCACAAACAGAGATGAGAGGGGTGGTGGATTGGGCAAGATTTTGGAGTCAAAGACGTGAGCGTCGGAGAGATTGTGATGTTCTTTGAATTGGAGCTGCAGGAGAGGAAGCTGTAGCAGTAAAAACTAAAGTAGGGGGAATTACAGTTAGGGAAACTGCTGTACTGAAAACTGCATCAGTGGAAACCGTAGCAGTAGAAACTGCAGCAGCGGAAACTGGAGCGGTGGAAACTATAGCAGTGGAAACTGGAGCAGTGGACACTGCAGCAGTGGAAACCCCAACAGTGGACACTGCAGGAGTGGAAACTGCAGGAGTGGAAACTGCAGGAGTGGAGACTGCAGCAGTATATAAAAAAAGAAAGAAAGCAACGCAATCCTGAATTACATATCTATCATCATAGAAGGTACAGTTCTAAAAAAGCTTCTGCTCACTGCTCTGTTATCTGCAAGGTCGAGCACAATGCTCCGACATAAATGCTGATCGAGCCCACCAGTGCTCACAGAGCTGCAAGGAACTCACACTTCCTAGTGGTGTCCGCAGTCGAAGACTTACCTCTGCTGGACCAACATTGTACCATACTTGAAAATAAGTTTACTTTGCTCTTGTGTGGAATTAGACCACCAAGCATTCACACAACAACACGAGTCCCGCACAAGCCAGATTGCACATAAGACGAACATATGAGAATCAAATCCAAAAACAGTCTTGGCAATTGCAACCAGTCTCTGAATTGTCTTCTCCTTACAAGCGGCTATGGCAGCTCTCATACCAAAATGTAGGTACGCTTCACACATATATTCTCTCTTTACTACTACTACTACTTCTATACACACAAGGGTACCTGTTGCGGCTTCTCCCACAAAAAAAGAAAAGAAAAAGCATAATGAACTGTCCTATCATCAGTCGAAAGTTCTCGAAACCCGTTTGGAAGAAAACAGGAGGGCATACCACAGAATCTTATTTTTGTTTTTACCGGGAGTTTTTTGTTTGGGGAAGCTGTTACCTTTTCAGCATGTTTTTTTGTTTTGTTTTGTGTGTTATGACCCACAAAGTTCCAGTCTGACATCTGTGTTTTTTTTCCAAGAAACGGCTGTGCTAAAGATTCCGATTCTGAGTTTGCTTGTATTTATGCCATGTGCTTACTTTGAGTTTTGAGTCTTTTGACTCTGTCTGTGTGTGCAATAGCATATGTGTGTGTCAGTCTCAGCTTGGTGCATGTGTGTCTTTCAGTCTCTTCTTCGTGGCCCCAAATGGTGTGATTGAAGATTGGCCCGGGCAAGTTGTCGGAAGTCGTCTTCAATAACAAGAATGCCACTGATATTAAGCAGGTGTTGTAACGTATGATTGTCAGCATCCAATCTGCTTGGCAGTTGCTGTTCGCGGGGGGAGTTGTTGGAAGTAGCGTTGTCATGTGAGCCGTAATGCTGGGCGTGCATCTTGGAGCATTTAAGGGTTTGCAAAAGCCAAAGACAAACCGAGAAGCACATGTCAGCATCATATAATTGACAGCCTGGCAGAATCTCTCTCTCTCTCTCTCTCTCTCTCTCTCTCTCTCTCTCTCTCTCTCTCTCTCTCTCTCTCTCTCTCTCTCTCTCT